TTAGGGTTTTTGAAGATGCCTATAGATCCACTTATGACATTCGCACACAAAATGTCAACAAATAAGTGTTTGACAGTTTCTTCTATCATAGTACCCTTATATATAGATGCGGTTTTTTTACTAGATAGATTGATTTAAGAGGTAGGTTCATATGTATAATACATTGCACCCGTGCGAAGCCGGGGAGGGTCGCTAGTATCTAATATTATTAGAAAACGTACCCATGACGCAAATTCGATTCGTTCGGTTTTGAAAGGTTTCTACTTCTCTTCGGAATTAAAGACTCAGATGGGAGAGAAAAAGATATGTTGAATTATTAGTTTTATAACAGAAAAATTAGCTTTTCTCAATGTCATTAATTATTTTGTCAGTATTATTAAAGTTTAAAATTGAGAAACTAGTTAATGCTAGAAGAAGTGGCCATTGTTGGGGTCGTTCATTTTAACGTTGATAAATTTGACATAAAGTAGGAATCTCGGAAACGGCTCCAGCGATTTTCATGAAATTTAGAATGTGCGTAGATTCGGGGGCGAAAAATTGATCTAGCTAGGTTTCATTTTAAGAAAATGTCCTTTTATCCCTGTTTTCAGGGAATGAAAAATATCATTCGAATATGACGGCCGCGGTTCGTATCACGATCATTTACACACTTATTTTTTTTACTATACCAGATCATTTTCTTTATTTTTTATTTTTTTTATTTCCAAAATGCATGATTTGCCAAAAAAAATGTCCTCCAGGTACTAATTCCATATATGACTTAATATACTCCCGATAAAGAACTAAAATAGATGGCATTAGACATAATTACTTTCCCTTCTACTATTCATGTTTAATAAAAATATATCCAAAATAAGTTCCAATTAGTATAAGACACTATGAACATTAATAAATATTTACGTAGAACGAACCTTTAATGGAAACACGTCACTCGAAAATTNACATCACCATTGAAAACATTTCATTGTTTCAATTTTGAATGTTTTGACATATCATTACCTACCTGTCATAATAATTATGTAATTGGTTCCATTGTTAAACGCTGACGAAATTTAAATTATTCCACACACGCCAGCCACACCGAAAACAACTTTGTTATAATTGTCATCAAATTAAATTCTGTTTATGATACAGATTTATATGCCACCAAATATTGAACATCTATCCATGTTGTACATATACATATACTCGTGGTATCCTGTATTAAACCGAATAATGAAAAAAACTAATAAAAAGACGTATTAGTTGCTTTTTATTTATTTTTTATATACTTTACTTTTTTTAAAAATAAACTATGAAATCCACATTTAAATCATTATTTAATAAGCATTAAGAATTATAATTTCGTTTTGCCGCTTTTAAAGTGCTTTTGAAATTTTAATGGTTTCCACAAATTGAAAAATTTTATATGCAAATTTCTATATTCCATTATCTATCATGGAATATAGATCATATACATCCTTTTGAAATTCTGTCAAAAATGTTGCAAAAACCCAACTTTGCTCGAAAAGTAAAGTCAAGCACCCTATCACACATGTGATATGTGTGATAGGGGTTTGATCAGCCTTCAAAGACCTCCTCAGAGGGTATCAGGGCATAGCCCAACATGCGGCCCCACTGCGGATCGGAGAATTTCATAACTTCGAAATATTAACTTTGCTCGATATGACAGGAAATCCACTTGAGGCAAACGCTTTTATGCAAACTGTGGTTCAATTCCATAATTCTGGAGGCAATCAGTAGACTTCGTGCGAGGAAAAAATTAAGATATTTTTTGTAATTTTATTTCGTTTTTATTTTATTTAAATTCATGATGTTTCGAAGAGTTGTCAGGTTGTTATATCAGTTTAAATAATGATTGTATTAAGTAGTACATTTCTGTTTTAGAAAACGTTAAACTATAAATTTGAAATTGCCTTTTCGCTGCTGATCTCAAATATGTAGTAATATTTGCAAGCGAATCACGTCTCTTGAAAATTGATCATTATTGAAAAATGTACGTTGTTGGAATTCTGAAAGCTCATACAAACCTGTAATAGTTTACCGCTATATTGTTTTTGAAAAATATAAAGCAAATTAACATCATTCCGCATTTGTCATCCGCTGACCCAAACTATGTTGTGTTTGGGACAAAATCAAATTAACATGATTCACGGGCTTTGGTTACAACATTTGGTCGTGTTACATCGACATAAATAATATTTCAAAAGAAATTACAACATTTGAAAATGCACCTCTTTGGCTGTAGAATGGCAGTTTGTTTCATCTGACTTTCAATTGTTTTTACATTGTGGCGCCATTTTAAAAGTTGCGTGTCTACATTAACATGAATTTATATCGGAAAAGTTTTCGTAGTATGATTTTGGCAATGAAGCATGGTGCCAGACGAATATTTTTAGCTGATTTGCGGGCATCCTTAGATATAGGCATGAGTCAAATACAATCAATCCTGCACAAATTTGACCGAGCACAAAAAACGAATCGCGTCTTCGTGCAATGCCGTGCTTACGATGATTTCTTTCTAAATCCTTTTAAGATGGATGGCCTCATTTCAGTCACGACGTAGCAGTATTATTTGTATTAACTCAAAGTTACCAATATCGTGGGGATATCTTGACCGTCAGTCGCGCTGACATTAGCATTCTTTTGTTTGTTTCTAATTACTTTTCAATGTCACTTCCCATTTTGTTACGAAAAAATCACATCTTTTACTGTTCAAGGCTTAGTTTTGCTCTGGTCAAAGTTTATTATATATTAGAGAAATCCTATTAACTATTATTCATCGAAGTTTTTATTATTGTAAGAGTGTTAATAAACATACCGGATAACAAATAATATTTCAAAGAATAATTTTTTACTCTGAAATTAAAATTTCTTCTACAGTTTCTTGTGATATAAGTGACCGTGAATTAGAAAAAAAAGCTATATACTGTTTAACATTTCATAACAGGAGTTTCTTAAACTATTAAAATAGTTTAAAGAAAAAAAACCACAAAAAAAGGATAACTACGGAGGTTCTTTCGCCTGTTTCTTCACCGTTACGAACTTCAGTATGAAATAGTGGTAGATTTAAAAAAAATACTATCGATTGATGAAATTGTACATTTCTTACTTGGAGAATAAATGAATTAATTTGATTTAATATATGTGATAGAATTGTGAATAAAACACAGATCTCATTCGTAGAACTCGTACTTGTTTCACGAATCAGATCTAAGTTTTATTCCAAACTAGCGACCCGCCCCGGCTCCGCACGGGTGCAATGTATTACATATAAACCTTCCTCTTGAATCACTCTATTTAGAAAAAAAACCACATCAAGATCCGTTGCGTAGTTATGAAGATCTAAGCGTACATCGGGATAGACAGACAGCGGGAAGAATTTGTTTTATACTATGTAGTGATGCACAGCAAAGAGACGTTTACATTTCAAGTGACATTTTACCACAGTGACTCACTTGTTTTGCCTTCCCGGAACCCATCCACTAACACTTAAACTTTATGGTATGGTATTAAAATTCAAATTGATTTTTAAGTATTATTACGAATCTTTTGTACGGGAATATATTTTTAAATTTTTCTCTCCCTAAGAACCATCTTCCTACTTCAAGGAATATTATAAAAAAAGGAATTAATGACATCGGTCCAGCCGTTCACGCGTGATGGCGTGGCAAGGGTTAGGACAATACACAAACTTATTTGCTTGGCTTACAATATATTTCTAACGTATGCTTTTAACACTAAAATGCTTGTTCAACACAAAAATGTATAAGGTCTTATATTTTTATGATGAAAATGTTGTATTAAATAGTTGAATCTTTTTATGTTGTACTTTTGTCATAACAGTTTTATTAAATCCTTTAGTTTTACAAAACTACTGACACAAGTCACAAATGGCAAATGGCGTCTTCAATTAAATTGGAACGGCATGGTATGTATCCAAATTTGATATAATAAAAAATATTTAATTTGGCACTATCATCAAAATTAGTAACCTGTATTAAAATTACTTATGAATTACGTATAACAATGTTACCTTCATACTTCTATGTTGCTCAACAACTTAGTAATTATCACGGCGGTAGTCTGAAGTTCAAGAACTTTCCAACTCATTAGGACGGAATTCAGTTCAAAAAGGGTCTGAAAGATTCGAAATAAAGGAGTAGGGAACCGTTGCGAACTGAAAGGTTTTATTTTTTTTCCCAACAAATTTTAATTACCAACATGAAATAGTTGTCTACACCGCCCGCAGCGAAAGGTTATTTATTAACCTTTCGCTGCAATTTTCTCGCATATGATATAAGCTTACAAATCCATGGAGGAATCTTTTTTCTTGGGTTAGGCTGTTATTTTACACTAGTGACCCGCCCCGGCTTCGCGTGTGTGCAATGTATTATTACATACAAACCTTCCTCTTGAATCTCTCTATCTAGTAAAACAACCGCATCAAGATCCGTTGTGTAGTTTTAAAGATCTAAGAATATATAAGGACAGACAGACAGCGGGACGAGTTTGTTTTATACTATGTAGTGATGATTAATGAGTGGAATTCCAAAACGATAACCCTCCTGATGTGTACGCGCCCACTGTATGGGTCAGTAATAAATGAGTGCTCTCACGCAACGGTTGTTTCCTTTCAGTCTATACATATCATTGGCGACGAGGTCGAATTACCCGCAAGTAGAAAAAAATGGCGTATTCCGGAAATTTGCCTATGTTTGATCATAAGTCCTGTGAGTGGTCCATATTTAAAGCCAGATTATCACAAGTTATAAAAATATATAAAATAGAAGAAGGAACTAAGAGTGGAATACTGCTTACTCAACTTAGCGTAGAGTCGTTTCGTTTAGTACGAAACTTGGCGTACCCGCAGGAGCTGGAGTTGTTGAGCTGTGCGAGCCTCGTAAAATTACTCGACAGCCATTTCAAGCCGAAGTAATGCTCTTGGACAAGGCGAATTTTTATGGAGCGAACAGAGGGTCAGGCGAATCATTGGAAGAATGGGTGGCGCGACTAAGAGGTCTTCAAGCTATTGCGATTTCGGCAACGCTTTGGAAACGACCTTGAGGGATCGTTTCGTTCTCGGCCTGGGCCCAGGTCCAGAACGCGATAAGCTGTTCGAGCAGAACCCATCCACACTTACGCTGAAACGTGCTATCGAGCTGGCTGAGCAGGCAGCTTGCGCCAAACAGGCGAGTGTAATGATGTGCAGCAGTGAAGCTGTCCGTGTTAAGGAGGAGCTGGTATACCGAGTGTGAATGTCTTATTGTTCATTCTTATTACAAAGTTTGGATAAAAATGGATATTCAATTAGAACTTATTTTATTAATTGATAAGCGACTCTTATGTGGTCCCGGTTGAATCTAGACCACATAAATATAATGAATTGTAGATTTTACTCGCTATATATTACTATGCAGTAAAGTTTAAAAGAGGTTACATATTTTTTCCGTGGTATTCAAGTATGGTATTATATGGTATTATAATATAATACCATATAATACCATACTTTATATAACAGTGTTAAGCAATAAATATACAACATTGTTTCAACTCATCATGTGATAAACAAAAATGTTACTAAACTGTTGCTTTTTTGAATTTTAATAAAATTTGCTTTTTCTTAACAATATATTATTTTCGTGAATTGTTAATGACGAAATTAAATCTTCACTACAGTAGGAACTGACCATTGCGTTAGTAAAAAATATTGTTTTCCAAACACAAAAATTCGAAATTGTAAATAAATGCAAATTCGGAAAATAATCAACGGTTCTTTCAACATCAAAAAGTTGGTTGAATAGTAAGTATATAATGCATAGTATTCAACCAAATTTTTGATGCTGTTGTATATGCAGTGTATATTTGTGTTTAATTAGAGACAGCAATTTCAAATGCAAGGGAAAATCACTTTTAAGAAGCGTAGCATTAATACTTACTTTAATAACATACACGTAGAAAAACATACATCCGACACTTGAAACTGACTTAAAATATCTCGCTCTGTATTCATTTTATAATTGATTTTCTGGAGTTCCCTACGTATCTGCGGAGTCCAAGATCCAATACCAATGAAATTAGTATCCACATGGGAAGCAAAGCACCAGCGTTCAAATAAAAAAAGAATCATCAAAAACGGTTTACTCAGTCGAAATTTCTCAGGTAGAAACATAAAAAAATTATGTCCAATTGGGTAGCTCTTTATTTTTTGAAATCGGTTGAAAACCTTAATCCAAGCAGAGCTCACAATGCTAGCTATATTTACTCGCTTAACCTTTGATCGAGAAAAGAAGCAGCCCTCTCATCACCAACAACGCAGCGATACGTCTAGGTCCTACTATATTCTTAATTATCGCTGAAAAATACATAAACACTTTCAAACTGTCTTCATAAATAAAGGTTAAAATTTTTTGAAAAGTTATCAATCTTTTTAATTTAAGTACAGTTGATACATTTGAATTTTAAATATGTATCAACTAAACTGTGGCAGCAAACAACAAAATATGTTATTTTTTCCAATTTGGTCTCTACGACGAATTTGATTAAACTTTAAAAATCGATTCGTTACTACGAGGAAAGTATATAATTTACAAATACCTTTCATAAATTCGCCATACTCATTCATAAAAAAAGTAAATAATCAAAACGAAAGTCATGTCTTCCTCTGTAGGCTTTAGTCTTAAAATGTTTACTCTACGCTATTTTCTTATAAATTCTTGATTACCAAAAAGAGATGTAAAACAAGTTTAGTCTTGTATAGCGTAAATAGCGCTTTATCATCTCAATTTCTCAATCCAGGAAAAAATAAATATTTACACGGCCGAGTTATAAATGAAACATTAATGTTGGGCCTTGAGCGGGATATTATTATGTATCACAAAGCCCAATGGCGATGCTCTTTCATCTCAAATTTAGATTAAACTCTAAAAGTTTGTTGTCGGAAGATCGAGACCTTACTTTTTCGTAACGATGAAAACGCATGATTATAACATATTTAATACATTTGTGTTAACAGCACTACGTATTGTATGTCATTTACACATAGCTGAGAATTAAATTATCAGTTTAGAATTATCGAAATGATTATAATTTACAACAATAAAATTTAAAGCAGTTTTATTTGAGTACTAGTTTTCGCCCTTGGTTTCGCTCGCTTTGAAGCCCTTAAATAAATATCTTTCAACCCTTTACAACACTTTGTCCAATTAAAAAATAGCCTATGTCGTTTGTCAGGCTCTAGACTATCTGTGTACCAAATTTCATTTAAATCGGTTTAGTAGTTTTGGCGTGAAAGCGAGACAGACAGACAGAGTTACTTTCGCATTTATAATATTAATTATAGATGAGTTCGTGCATATACAGTATTAGGTATTATAATGTGTTGAAAACCTCCTGTTGTGATAAAAACTATATTCGTTATTCTCTATAGCTTCTAGATCGTCCTGTGTCGGCTTCCTCGATCGATCGAGGAAATACCAGAGTGCTGGTGTGGGGGGGGAGGGTAACATCAGCTATGCAATTCAAGAACAGGCTGGCAAAAAAGTACGAACACACTTAAAAATAATAAAAATATATACGGTGGTAGGGCCACGCATTAGCCTCGGCTGTTGCACGAATGGGCAGGCCCGTCCGGGTAAGTACCACGACCTCACAGAAGACCAGCGTAAAGTGGAAGTACGACAAATACTTTCGCGTTTCGTCTGGTGAGTGAGGTAGCCGGAGCTCAATTTTCAAAAGGTTGTCAACACATCTGTAACCCTCGGGTGTAGCAGATGGTATTCACTTACCATCAGGTGAACCGTCTACTCGTTTGGCAACTTTTCACATAAAAAAAATACGGACGAATTGAGAAACCCTCCTTTTTTAAATTTAGTCTGTCTACTGGTCTCTGGGCGATGCACGTGAGTATTTGTCAAAGAGGTTATACTACATGTGATGAAGTGATGAATGTAGCAAATTAAGTAAAGTAACAGCCTATATATGTCACACTGTCGGACAAAGGCCTTTATATAGATGATAATACAAAATTATAATTCTAGAACTATATCGCAAGTATAACGAATCTATAGCTAACGTCTTACATCAATTATTTACATGAGCGGGTTATGTATGAAAACTAAAATTTCGAAAACGATACTCTATCACGAGCTTTAGACTTTTAGAATGAGTATTTGAAAGTAAAAGCACCTTTGTTATTGGAATTTAATTTTGACATTTACTACATGATTTTATTTATAATCTCCTAGAAGGCGAAACGTATTACGACTGTTATCTCCACATATTAAGTTTTATTTTGACAATTGAAAACGTCTTTCGAAAAATTCACGCGAATAAAGTGGATAGTTACGGGTATACAATAAAAGCAAACAATTTCTTCGTCTGTTCTACGTCTTTAATTTGTTACAGTCACTGCCTATCGATCACAAAAGGAGTTGTCTCGTAAAAAACGGAGGTGGAGAACTTTATAAATTTTGTATTGGATAAGAATTGCTTTGATTCGTCCGTTCGTCTTGATATACCGACTGCCAACGATTGATGATAAAAGTTGAGAAAAAGATTGAGTTAAAATGAATTGATTGGGGCAAGACATTTCTCCGAAACAAAAGGGTCTTTGTTGTGGATAACGCCGATTTTATTTTTCATTTTGCGGCAAATTTAATGAAAGGAAATTAGGATGAAAAAAAAACAATTTTGAAGTCAATAAGGATGTTTCGCCGCAAGAATTTATTGACTTAATTAGATCAGTAGACATTCAACTGTTGGATCTCATTGCAAGGAACTAATAAAAAGACATATAATAAAGATAAAAAGAAAATAAAGCAAACGTTATCTTTTTTGACGTATTGAGTATTTGCAAAGTTCTAAACACCATTGAGAGCCGTGATAACTCATTGTCGGTGCACTGGCTTTTAAATCAATATGCTCGAGCATCCTGAGTTCGATCTCAGGTGAAACCGATGAAATTGTTAACTTTAAGTGCTGGCTTATCACGTGCTTTGCGGTGAAGTAAAACATCGTGAGGCAACCTTCATATTTCCGAATTAATAACGAAAAAAGCTATTCGAATTCATATTAAGTTCGCCAACCCACGATGGGGCCACGTGGTGGACTATGCCCTAATACTTTCTGTACAGACGCTGCCTTTACCCAGCTGGGAACATAGGTGTTACTTTTTACTACAAAACCGTACCCACTGGAGGGGTGAACTATTCTAAAAAATTATGACGACGTGAGTGTACTTTCGCGTATCCTCCACTGATTCACTATTAATAATATGGTGTTAAATGCTAAAAAAACGAAATGCCTTCTTTTTACCCTTCCCAGCGTAAGAAGGCAAAGTTTTAGCTTAAAATTAAATAGCGTATCCTTAATCCTGTTGAATCCGCTGTATTCTTGGGAAATATTGTAGATTCAAAGCTCCATTGGAGTCCCCATCTATCATCTGTTGCGAATAGGTTAAGCTCTGCTGTTTTTGCAATTAGGAAGATTAGGCAGCTATCAGACATCGACACTGCCAGACTTATTTATTTCAGTTATTTCCACAGCATCTTGTCTTACGGCATTTTGTTGTGGGGTAGTGCGTCTGATATAAATTCTATATTTATTCTTCAAAAAAGAGCTGTCCGAGCAATCTATAACATCGGAGCCCGGAATACACTCAGAGACCTTTTTAAAGAGATTAATATACTCACTGGCGTCTCAATATATCTATTGTAATATTTTGTATGTTAATCATAATATTAATAATTATCTAAAGAATAGTAACAGACATAAACTAAATACTAGAAATAAGGACAAACTAACTACGCTATTGTTTCTTCTACAAAAAGTAAACAAGTCGTTCATGGGGCAAAGTGCGCATGTATAATAAAATCGCGCAGTCGATATTAAGTCTGCCACTTGATCAATTTGAACGAAAAATAAAAGTCAACTTATGCCTAAAGCATATTAATTATACCATTGCGGAATATCTTGACGACGCTAATGTGTGGAGTTAATACTGTTGATACTCACGTAGGCTGAAACAAAACTATTATACCTGTACCATTATATTGTAAATTGACCTTTTAAAAGGAGCAACTGTTGAGTTTCTTGCCGGTTTCTTCTCAACATTACTTAATTGATATCATTCCATGCACTTGAACTGCTAAAACAAACTTTGATACAGTATAACAAATAAAAAAAGAACTTTAATTTCATTACCACCTTTGAGGTTGCTGCTCACTGTTAATTGCGGATATAATAAATGTTCTTA